CATCAGGGGTCACCTCGCCGCCCTCCTCGCCCACCTAGGGACCGCCGAGGCCACCAGCACCGGCCCCGTGTCCTCCAGCGAGGTTGTCCCTGCGGGCTGGAACCTCTGCACCGTTGTCGGGGTGCTGCTGGGCTACCCGGCAGCGTACGCCTTCGCCATGGAGGGGGGTGCTGAGAACTGCCTGGCGCTGACGCCACTGAGGGTGTTCACGGTCCAGGCCTCCTGCCCCAGGATAAAGGACGGTCTCAGGGTCCAGATCTATTCCTTCAGCATCCCGGAGAGCCTCTGCACGGAGCTGAAGGAGGTGCTGGATGCCTGGTGTGATGAGCTGAAGGAGGCCTTCAGCGCTCAGACTGACTTTGTAGATCTCTGCATTTCCAGCGAGGTGGTGTCTCTTCCAGCAGTTGCCTTGTAAAACACAAACAAACTCAAGACTTTTGGCCTGTTTCTCATTTGTATCAAGGATCTGGTTCCTGTGTTTGTGGACCACTGAGGCTCAAGAGGCCCCTGAGCACCAAAGGCTGAATGGTGACAGTCTCGGGCCACCGACCTCGTAGGCCAGTTGCAAATGAAATCTGTGTGCTTCCCAGAAGACCAGTGCATGGATGTCACAGCTGCTCTGCAACCTTCATCCTGGCTGCAGAGTGTACCCTGTAAACTGAGGGTATTATTTGTTTGCTGCGAACACCTAAGGATTAATAAAACATTTGAACACTACGATATTTTGATTTGTGAAGTTTATTGTAGGCTCCGTATCATATTTACTACTCGTGTCATGCACCGTCTTGTCGCTGAGCCTGCGCTTGAACAAGGGGCAAGTGCTACTGTAAAATCTGCACAGTGCAGCTCCAAAACAGTCTTAAAACCCCTGTCTCTGTGGAATCAGTGTGGTGCTGGCAGTGAAAGGGAAGCAGACATGGCTTTGGCACGAGACAGGCTAGAAGAGCAGTGGGCCAAAGTGGGCCAGGTGGTTGGAAAATTGCTCAGGACAGAGCGCACAGGGAGTACGAGGGGACTGTGCTAAAAATCCTCCCTGAGCTGGATTTCTTTGTCAGGTACCAGTAGAGATGGTCCAGAGTCAAATACCTCCCATTTAGGAAGGCAATAAATAAAGGAAGAGAATTGTGTAGTGCTCTCAGCTGCCAAGCATGAAAACGGGGAGGCTGGATGCCAAGGGCACAGGACGCTCCGTCCCTCTCATCCTCTGTGAGCCCTGGCAGCGGCAGCGGCTTTGTCCCTCAGTGCCATGGGGACTGGGCAGTGCAACCTTCAACTGGAGCAGAGTAACCAAAGCACGAAGTGAAGGGGTCATCTCCCTGTGTTTATTGGAGCTGTGGGAGTTTGGAGTGAGACCAGCTCAGCACGTGAACCAAACACACGAGTACAAAACAGCAGAAGGTGCACTGCGGCGAGGGCACATCGCTGTTGGTGAAGCAAAAGTCAGTTCCTGTGGAGAAGTTGGTCATCGAGAAGGTCCTTCATGGTCTGTAACTTGCAAAGAAGGTGGCTATGGCCATTGCTATCGCTGCCACCAGGAGAGGCATCCAGTGAACGCGCGGTCTCTGCAAGGAGAAACAAGTGTTATTAGGAAATGGGTGGGGAGAAGAAACCTCTCATCCCTACCAAGCATGTCATTCCTCTTCCCGCACTGCACAAATAAATGGGGGAATTTTTCCCAGACTGATGTGCAGCCCTGGTCTGAAAGCACTGGGATTTGGGGTGAGGAATGCCTCCCACCTTTGCCTGCTTGCTGTGGAAGTGGTTGAGCTCGTCCCGGCACTGGCGCAGCCTGGTCAGGCAGGAGCGGTACTCCTCGCTCAGGGCCTCCAGCTCCGAGCGCAGCTCCGTGCACTGCAAGCAGAGTGAGGGGCCGTTAGCAGGAGGGATCCCCTCGCTTTTGTACGCACCCAGACTGGCAGGGCTCCCGCAGCGGCTGCAGCGCTTCACCCCTGCACCGACACTGCAGCAATGGGGGATTTTCTCTTCTGCTACCGGTACGCCCATGTGTACCTACAGGGGACAGAGCAGAGCTCAGCGTTACTGGGAACGCGGTGACGGAAGATCTGTTACCATCTCGTGACCTGCCTGGCTTTGCTGCCGTCCTTCACATCACACAGGGGAAAGAAGCGATAGTTATTTTTATGACCATAGAAGTGTGCAGATCAGGAAGGAGACAAGAAGTGCAAACTCATGGCAGGGTTTGCCTCTCGTTCTGAAATTCATTCTGTATTTCACTGACTGCGAGAGCAATTGCAGAGTCCTTTAAACTCTCAGAGACATGGGACACATGAGACAGGCCCCTTGGTTGTGCTGATCCCCCAGAACCCAGGGATCACCTTTTTTCCTGGCCACACGGCTCGAGACCCCTCTGCCTTCCCAGTGTTCAGTGCCTCGGCAGCAGCTGTGAAGGACACTGCCCGTGCTGAGGGGCTGCAAGAGCTGCACCTGGGACCCCCAGCTGATCCTACTTGCCGTGATTGTGCTCTACAAAACCCTTCCCCAGGTGATTCTGGGTGATGCCTGACTGTGGTGTGCTTACCAGCAAGGGTTGGAAGGACAATCTCTTCTCCTGCATGGCTCTGAGTTTTGCTAAGGTAAGTTATAATTTTTTATTTGGTTTTTTTATAAATCCTTGCTGCCTGGGTGATGCTGGAAGAACTGTGGGGCTGTTGGGTGGCAGAGGGCACGTTTTGATGGGAAAGAGCGTGAAATAGACCAGAAAGCTTTGAAGTTTTTTGTAGCCCAGTTGTAAGGGCGTTGCTTTTGTTAGCAGGCCCTTCCTGTATTTTGGAAGCCTTTTGTTTTCCTCCTCCCCTTCCTTTGTGCTCAGGGTTTCAGCTCTTACAGGGTGGCTTTGGCTTTTCCCTGTGAGACTGTTGGGACTCTGCTGTCTGTGAGAGGAGAAATGGGTTTGTCTGGAGAGGGCTCTGCTGGTGCAGCCCCGGGTGCCAGGCTGCTGGTGTTCTTCCCTTGCCTGGAGATGCTGCATTGTGGGTTTAGATGAGGCTGGTGTTGGGATAAAAACTGAGCAGAGAGAATCCCTGCAGGAGATGCCGAGCTTAGGCTACTTCCAGGGGCTTTGGTGTGTTGTGTTGTGCTGCTGCTGGAACACTTAGACCAGCAGGTTGTTCCCCAGCTGTGATTCAGTGACTTCCTCACCTCGTTCTCCTTTGCTGTAAGCTGGCATGTCCTTTTCTGCATCTCATCCTTCAGATTTTCTTCTCCCTCCTCCTCGGGGTGCTCTAACAGAGGGCTTTGTTTTTCCTGGACAGGAGTGAGAGGTGGGGTCTGCGTGGTGAACACCTGGTCTAGAAAACAGTCAGGCTTGTGATGAGAAACAGGTCCAGGCTTTCAGGTTGCTTTAGATCTTGTTTGCTCAGCACAGTTTAAAGATAATAGTCGAGTGCTGGGCATGCAGTGGAGGACACAGGAGCTGAGTTAGTTATCACAGGCCTGCCTTTGCTGTAGCTGCAAGTAATCATCTTCAGAGGAAGATTTCTAAGTAGTTGCCAGAAATAGAGGGGAGGGACAGTTAAAATGCCTTTGTTACTGCTTTTCAAGTACAACTCTAATTCCAATTATAAACTGGAATGTTGGGGGTTTTTTTGAAAAAAAATTGGCATAGCCACTGAAGTAGAATTTGCAGTGAAATACATTTATTTTTTTAAGTGTTTGTCATCATAAATACACTTTAGTTTTAATGTTAACTAGCAAAATATAATAACTCGCTTTGTGCAGCTTTAAAATAATCCTTTATTCTAAACCAATATAGACTTCTCCTAGAGTCAGGTGTAATGTTCCTGTGTCCAGTGAGAGGAGTGCTGGGTGGGGGTTAGAGTTTGCTGACCTTTCCTTTGCACCCTTGTCTCCTGGCTCTTCTGTTGGTTACTCTGGTTCTGTATCAAGTCTGTCAATGTAAAAAGCCACTGTTAGTGTCCACGGCGCTGATGCGGGTCTCTTTGCATGTCTTTGTGTTACTTACTGTGCAAATGGCTGATTGTTGCCTCCAGTGTTATCTTCTGATTTTGTTCTTTTTGCAATTTATCTGAAATAGTGATAGAAGAAAATAGAGGTTGATGTAAATCTCTTGTGTATCTTTGTGCAAGGATGGCAACTCTCCCTTTCTCCACGTGTATAAAGCGGAGTGGATGTTGTTGGCTACACTGAACTTTCTTCCCTAAGGGGATGTGATTTTTAGCTGTTAATTGCCCTTTCAGTTTTGGCAGTTTTTTCTAGTGTGCCTTGGATTCTAATAATTTACGGTTTATTTTAAAACTGCTCATGGTGTGAGACCTGTTATAAAAATAGAACTGCCACACATTTACTCTTCCTTAATTGTGTTTTAAAGTAGCCCTATGAGGTATGTGTGAGTTTCCTTGCCTCTATCTGAATTGGTACTTTAAGATGCTGTTAGCATGTATTTATACCCTGGGAATACTGACCACCACACAGCAGCACCTCAGACAGTAACGGGCGCTCCCTTGCCACCCTGGCAGGTCAGCACTGCTGTGTTCCATGGCTTTGATAAGGATGCAAAAGTCCTCATCAAAGCTGAGGACTCATATTTGATTTTTTTTTTTTTTTTGCAGTCTCCAATTCTATCCTTTCTTCTAGAAAAGTCACTTGACTTCTCTGAAATCCTTTAATGAAGTTGGAAACGGCCCTTTTGGAAACCACAGGCTTTCTCGGTAAGCTGAGATGTGCCGCATGTTCAGAGAGACTCTTTTGTGTGTGTATGTGCTTGGCTTTAAGGGCCATGATTTTAAGAGTATTTTCCTTATACCCTCTGTTCATTTGGAGGACAGACCCCTTATGGTTCCCTGGCACACGATACCTTCCATGGCACGGATGTGCTCAGCCTTCAGGTCGTTGTCCTCCTGCAAGGCACTGGCTCGCTGGTGGAGTGCCGTGTGCTCGCTCCGCAGGCTGCACAGGGCCTGGTGGAGCTGCTCCTTCTGCCTGTCCACTCGCTGCGGGTGAGAAAAGCCCTGGCATCAGCCCAGCACCATGCCACAAGCACACAGTGTCACCGGCTTTCGGGTAACAAAAGTCACCCCAGAGCTGAGGACCGGGTTGCAGGTGTAACTGCCGCGCTGCATTGAGTGGGATTTGTTATACAGTGATCCCAACCTGGGGGCTTCCCTGCTTGTAAATGGTAAAACATGAATTCCGGTGGATGCTGTTCCTGAGGGGAGCTGACGTACCTGCAGTTCGCTTTGCAACACCTGGAAGCCGTTCTCGAGCTCGGCGTGTGCTGTGGTCATCTTGCTCAGTTCGGTTTTGAGTGTGGTGTAGTGCTCTTTCCAGAAGGCAAGGTCCTCTCTTGTCACTGCCAGGCTTCTCTGGGGAGGAGACAAAGACCCACGGGTGGGCTGTGACCCATGGTCTGGTGGGACCACACCAGGCTGCCCTGGACAACATCCATGGGCACTGGCACCAGCTGGGGCCACACAGCCACCTCCTGCACCAGGGTTCTGATAACCCGCGTGGGGCTGATGCCATCTGATGGACAGAGCGAACATGGGCAGAGGGTTTGCTCTGCAACCAGAGTTCCTCTGCTGCCGGCAGGATTTAGAAGCCTGGTTATATTTGGGATAAGACTGACTTGTTTTTCTGAAAATACCAGTTATCCTGTGGGTCAAAGCAAATTGCTGCCTCTTGGGGAAAATCCATTTTCATATAAAAAAGTAACTCCAGAAAAAGTGTCTCTGGAGACCTCGTGCTCTGCGTGCGCCTTGTTTCTCCATGTGTGCAAAGCGGGGAATGGGGAGAAGGGACTACACTTAAAACTGCCCAACAGCAGTGTCATTCCCCAAATGTGTGCTGGTTTTAATAACCTGATGTGTGGCTCATGAAATGAGCACAGGTTGCCACTAAGCTGCTTTGGATTTTGCCCCAAAACGAGGGGGTTTTTGCATCTTTGTTCCTGTGTAAGCTGGTCATCACCTTTCCCTGAAATGTGGGGGCTCTTTGGCACAGCAGGGCTGGCTGCCACTAAGCTGCTTTGGATTTTGCCCCAAAGCAAGGGGGGTTTTGCATCTTTGTTCCTAATAGTAAACTAGTAATTGCCTTTCCCTGAAATGTGGGGACTCTTTGGCACAGCAGGGCTGGGTTAAAGCAAAGCCAGGTGTAAAACTCCCTGGAAGTGTTGAAGGCCAGGCTGGATGAGGCTTTGAGCAACCTGGTCTAGTGGAAGGTGTCCCTGCTGATGGCAGGGGGGTTGGAACTGGATGACCTTTAAGGTCCCTTCCAACCCAAACCATTCTATGATAACATGTTGCTTACCTGAGAGTTTTGCAGCTGCTGCTCTGTTTGGAGCTTATCCTCCAGCATCTTCTGAAGAGACTCTTTTGCCTTTTGCTCATAGGTCTGTTTCTGGTCCTCCATCTCTATCAAGATCTTCTTCACACACTCCTTTGAGTAACTCTTTAAAGGAAGAATTAAAGTCCTTGAAGGGTTTTATCTGACACATTCCTAATCTTGCTGAGTATTAGCAAATCCAGAGGGTGTAAATGCTACTGCTACTCTGCTGTGAAACACTGCAAAGAGGAAGAAACATTTTCAGATCCATATCTAATCAGATTGCTCTAGAAACTGAGACCCAACCTAATTACATGGTTCGGTATTTTGTTTTCATGCCTTTCTTCACCCATGTTTGTTTCTCAGCAATCGGACATTACCTGGGTGCAGGCCTGCAGCTGATTTTCAAGTGCCCTTAGTTTACACTTCAGTTTATCTTCATTCAGCTGACCCTGGAGAGAAAAAAAACAATTGAACTGGTGTGTGGAATCCTGAACTGTACAATATGCCTCCAATGTGGTGTTAGCTTGTGTTTTGATTAACCTTCTCCCTTCATCTAGAATATTATGGCTAAATTTGGTCAAAGTCTTTTCAACACCTCAAATAAGCATTTGCTGTCTTTGAATAAATGGGGTTGGGGGGAAGTAAAGCTTTTACACACTGAAAAACTGAACAGCAAGGGGATCTCGGGTTAGTCTGGATGGGTCTGGCAGAAGCAAAGCTGCTGCCTGTCCCCTGGCTCCATGGCTCCTTCCTGCAATGCTCCTTGCCTGAAGCTCCGGCTGGTGCTGAGGGCTTGTCTTGCTGGTTCCCTTAGGAAATAGGCTGGGTTTGCATTACAACATCGAGCAGTTGGGCAGGGGGATAGAGGGCAACAGTGATGATTCATTTGCCTTATTATAAACTCCTCTCACTATTAGTCAGGCTTCTTAAGGTTTGTGAAACCAGACTGCATGCAAATTCAGATAAAATTTCTAGCAAAGAGTTCACGTAGGCTGTTTTTCCACTACCAATACTGACAACACCAGTATCCTCTCTGCTTACTGCTGTTTGAAGTCAAGCTTCTGAAAAAGCAGCTCCTTGATGTCACAGGAATAGCTGTTAGACCCAAGCAAAACCAGATCCTCTAGTGTTTTAGCACTGTTTAAATTTGCACAGAAGTAAGTTTACAGTCCCAAAGACTAAATCTTCCCAGTTCAGTTGTTGGTACAAAGAACTAAAGGCTCTATCATCTTCGAAAGTAGGTGGAGTTTTGAAAAGCATTTTTATGTGTGAGATATTATGCCTGCTTTTCCTTTGCAGTTTATTTTATTCTGCTGTCTGCAAAGGTTCACGTTGGAGGGTGATGGTGGCGTTACAGCTGCTGTGCAAAGTACAAGGCAACGGAGCACTGGGCCCTTCCTACACTTGAGAGCAGAAAGGTGTTGGCAAACTCCTTCCATGGAGATTCAGCTTATAAATTGGCAGAAGAACATAAAGATTTCCCTAAATGCAATAAGCTGCCTGGCAGGGCTGTTACCAGAACAGCGTGGCAGTGGTGGGTGAGGGAGTATGTGCACGTAAAGAATTATGCTTCTGACCAGAGAAGTGATGTGAACAGATTCTTGGTCAAGCCCTTTTGTTGCAGATTATCTACATGAAAGGGGCTGCTTTAAAAAAACCCCAACAGAACAACTCCCCAAAAGCAACCAAACAAAACCTCCCCACATAACTAAACAGCAACAAACCCCCTTTAGCCACCATCACCAGATGCTGGTGGATTTTCCCCTCTTCCGCAGTGTCCCCAGTGACACTGTTTGAACACCATGTGGTGGTCACAACATCTGGGGATCCTCATGCTGTGTCTTGCTAGAGAGCCCCAAGGTAGCTCCTGGGAGCCAGGCAGAGGGAAGGCTGAGGGCTGACATGTTCAAAATACACCTGCTCTTGCAAATACTGAATTTGAATCCTCTGTAGCCCTCATCTTCAGAGAGTCTGAGGTGACCTGAATGGGCAGCTCCAAAACCTCTCTCAAACTCTTCTGCATTTCTCTACCACTGTCATTTAAGTATTTTAAACTGGTTTGGGCTGACAGCTGTAGTGTTGTGGTTGTCCTGTGATCGGTGAATTCTCTGATACTCCTTCCCTTAGTTACTTTAAATAGCAGGTTTAAAGCAGTAATAACAAATGCTGTTTCTGGATGGCTTCCAGTTTGCACAAACGTGATGTTTGCACTAGAAAAATAAGTCCATATAGTAGCAGCAATGCACTGGAAATGGCAAAGAGCTTAAGCTCTGCAGAGCTGCAAGGTACTTCTAAAAGTCAAGCTCAACTTCAGAGGTCAGGAAGGGAAGAAAATATATTAAAGTAGCAATTTTCTTCTTTAAGAAGAGAACAGCTTAAAACTAATTACTCTTAATAATTGTAACTGAGACTTATTTAGCTTCCTTCATCTGGCAGCGTTTTTATCCCCTCCTCCTGCAGAGTATTTGCTTACTCTGTTAAACCAGAAGCACCAATGAACATGAACAGCATTTCTTTGAAACCCCAAATATTCTAAAGGATTAAAAAGCCTCTGCAACAAGCATCTGGCATCTCACCTGGGCCTGGAATGGGGCAACCAGCCATGGATTTCCTCAGCACAGCATTGATGTACAGGAGCTCTCTGTGCCTCCCTTTGCCAGCACCCCCCAGAGAAGCCCCTGGCCCCCCTCTCTGTGCATCCCGGGGGATGCCCTCCGAGCAGGCACCATCCACCTTGTTTGGCTCCAACCCCAACAGCAAGTTAATTTTTACTCTGATGAGAGTCTGGATGCAAAAGGCAGCAGCAAAGTCTCTCTTCTGGAGCAGAGATAGTGAGAAGCAAAGAGCACCCACCTGTTTCTAATCTGAGGTTTCATGGCTACTTCCTGCAGAGTGTGGTAAAGTGTTTTTTCCTGCTCATATTATATTTGAAGAAGCAAGCGAAGGCGGAAGCTTCTAACCACACGACATCTAACACAAATTCTTTACACCATCTCACCCAATCACTTGCTTTTCTGCCCCAAAAGACATTTCAGACCACTTTTTTAATGGCACAGGGAACTGTAAATTAATATTTGATTTAATAATCCTATCTAAAACACTTTATATATTACATAAAATGCATCACCTTAATTTTACCTCCTGAGAGAAAAAAAAAATGGGCCCTGGTTCAGTGCTGTCCAGAGGATTTTGTTTGAGCTGTGGGGAAATTGTTGGCAGAGCACAGAGGACTCATTGGAGCTCATTGGATTCATTGGAGCACCTCTCCTATGAGGACCGGCTGAAAGAGTTGGGGCTGTTCAGCCTGGAGAAGAGAAGGCTCCGGGGAGATCTTATAACAGCCTTCCAGTACCTGAAGGGGCTACAAGAAAGCTGGGGAGGGACTTTTCATAAGGGCAGTTAATGACAAAACAAGGGGAAATGGGTTTAAACTGAAAGAGGGGAGGTTTAGATTAGATATTAGGAAGAAATTCTTTGGTGTGAGGGTGGTGAGACACTGGAACAGGTTGCCCAGAGAAGCTGTGGCTGCTCCTCCCTGGAAGTGTTGAAGGCCAGGCTGGATGAGGCTTTGAGCAACCTGGTCTAGTGGAAGGGGTCCCTGCTGATGGCAGGGGGGGTGGAACTAGATGGTCTTTAAGGTCCCTTCCAATTCTAACCATTCAAAGTGTCCTCCTAGTGAGGAGGAGACTGGGTGGCCAGGAGCTCGCCAGGAAGGCTGCATGTGCAGGGGTGGGAGTTTTTAGCTGTCGTGTCCCAAGATTACAGAACAGTCTGTCTTTTACTCCATCTGATGTGGTGTTTGGCAGCACTTGGATGTGTCAGTTTGCATCTAAAATTTTTATTTTGGACAAAATAAAAAAAGGTTCAAAACACTTGTAACTTGTTTTGAAAATCTGGTGGAAGATGGTTGCTTGGGTTCATTCCAGTTTTTCCCCACTTACACAATTCTTACAGAAGAAAGAGGGGTTTCCACTTCCTGTTGGTCTGAAAGCAAAGTACTGTTTGTCATGGTCTTTGGGGGACAAAAGGGGAAAAAACTTCAAGCAAAGTAGCCCCCCTAACTTCTGAGTTTGCTCAACCCTCCCTAAAAAGAAAGGTGCCAGCAAGGCAAGAGGCAGGGCAAGCAGCGACTTGCAGGTGAACGTTCTGCACGGTGTCTTGTCTGCCAGGTGACAACACTGCATTTTAAACCTGTGACATCCCCACGCCTGTCAAGCACCAAAGCCGGGCAGAGCTAGAACTCTACTCTGAGAAAGAACGGGGCACCCCTGGGGTGCTCTGCACACAATGGTCCCACCAAGGCAGAACCTCCCCCAGCCCCAGTGGCCTCCTGCCGCTCTCTGGTACCTGCCAGGATTTTTCTGACGCTTGCAGCAATGTGGAGAAAAGTTCCTGCAGAATCACCATCTTCTGCTTGAGCAGCAGCTCACGGTGCAGGGCCTCCTGTGTGGGAAGGGGAGAGCGGGTCAGTGGGGACCCCCGGAGCTGGCAGGGACCCCAGAGGTGATGGGGACAGCCCAGCTCCCCCCTCCCGCTCAGGGTAGGGCTCCTGCTGCGCGGGGGGGTTCAGATGGGTCTTTGTGTTTAGTGCCTTGTCTGTAGGTTCCTTGGCTGTGTTGAAATTGGGTGTGTAACTCCTCTTTACCGAATAATTTAGGGAGTGGTGGTGTACTGACTGAGGACCTGCTTCCCCAGCAGGTACGTACAGAATTTGGTACCTACCTTCAGGTAGTTGGACAGCTGCACCATTTCCTGAAAGGGAAAGGGCAAATGTTGAAAAACAATAGGATTGTTTCAGTTTACAAACATTTTGTTTCACTTTATAAACATTTTACAAACTGGCTACAAAATCCAAATATTTTGGGATAAAACTGGAGTCAATAGCCTGAGTGTGGGCAGAGGAGGAGATCCTGCTGGGCTTCGTTTGCTTTTTCCAGGGAGGTGAAAATACTTCCTGCAGAAACTTACATCCCTGGAGCTAAGGGGTCTTTGCCAGTTACTGGACAGTAGATGTCCAGGGGACAGAACTGCCCTTCTCTCCTACAGCAGCAGCCTCATCATTTTGGAAACTATGGAAATTTAGCACCAGTCAACGTCCCAGTCAGAAAGTTTAGAAACTGGTTTTGTTTGCAGGGGTTCAAGGGTAGTTGTTACCTGTGTTTCACTTACCTTATTCAAAACTGCTACTCCACAACTAAAATGAAAAAGAAAG